TCAGGGCTTTGCACCTGCTAAGCATGCACTCTATCACTGAGCTATATCCTTTGCTTCTAGTCTTTGATTTTTAATTTTACTTGGTTTTTCCGATTTTACCCACTGAAGAATGAATGGATAAAGGAAGTAAGGCAGCATTTATTGAGTGGCTATCATGCCAAGTACTGAGCTGGGTCTGATGGAAGTTGGGCCTTTTTTTTTCATGTGCCCTTCAGGCAGTGGCAGGTGAGGTTGACTGGTTTAGGTTGCACAGTTAGCACAGGGTTGGGGGGAAGGTGGTTGGGATGGAGTGATTTGGAGCCCAGACACCTGAATCTTTGGAAGTCCCTTGGCTGTGATTCAGGTACCTGAGAATGTGGCTCCTCCCCAGCTCTCTCAGGCCACAACAGCCGGAAAGAGTAGCAGGATTTTCCCAGCAAGTACTTGGAATTCCCAGAATGGGAAATTCCCATGCCCTGAGGGACAGGTAATTACCTGGTTCAAGCTCCAGTTTCCTGGAGAAGGGAGGCTATTCAGCTGGGCTTTGTTACATAGTATCTCCTGGACCCCAAGAATCTAAGTACTGGGGTCTGTCTGTGTCCAGGCATCTTTTTTTTTATTTTAATTTTTATTTTTTTAAGAGAGAGAGAGGGAATCTTTTTTAAATATTTATTTTTTAGTTTTTGGCGGACACAACATCTTTGTTTGTATGTGCTGCTGAGGATCGAACCCAGGCCGCACGCATGCCAGGGGAGTGCGCTACGCTTGAGCCACATCCCCAGCCCGCGTCCAGGCATCTTAAGCTCTGCAGAGAGAAGACTTCAGAGAGTGGGCTCCTACCCCCAGGGAGAGACAGATGCAGAATTGACTCCAAGAGACAGATCATGTTTCTTTTCTAAGCAATCTTTATTTCTATTTCTCGCCACTGCGATTACAGACACAGCTCCCCTAGGGAGCAGAGGTTCAGCGATGTAGCAACAGTAGGTCACCAAATCAGTATTATTAAAACATCTGGATTAGATAAATATTTTGTTTAAAACATAAGCAAAAGGAGGCAAAGAGGCCAGGAGGCCAGGTGGGAACAGCCTATAGTTCAGTTCCGTTTTCACAGAAAACATGTCTGGCCCAAGGCAGCTCCGACGTTGGGCCCCCAGGACACCCTGACCTTCTAAATAAATACATTCATCAGTAAATAAATAAATAATAAATAAGTAATAAATAATTATAAGTGCAACCATAAATAGAGGGGGCTGGCCCTGTGGGAAGGGATGGGCTCCATATCTTAGGAGTCTGGAAACATCTGAAGAGAGGAAGGCCTGAGGTCCACTCTTGTAAGTGTTCGAGGTGAAGTCTTCTTAAAGAGTGTGCTGAACCAAAGGCTTCCTGATCCCCACATTTCAGATGTCCCAGGTTGAATTCAGGGATCAAAACCTGAGGGCCCCAGTGGTTTCTGGTAGTCTTGGTTTGAATTCTTGCTAGAGTGCCCCAGTGCATCCAGGTCACACATCCCTTCATCCAAGTTTTCTGAGTGGTGTTGAAAGTTCTAAGATTGGGGTCTGACCCTAATTCCCTTTCTCAGCCAAAAAAGGACAAGGAGGCAGGGGCCGAGGGATTGTGGTAGGTGAAGGAGAGGAGGTGGATGGACATCCATCTCCCTCACAGAGCGATGACCCCAAAGTAGACCTGCCCGGACTCAGCAAAGTCGAGATAGCTGGGCAGGTTGACCTCAGCACTGAGTCGATCACCCTTCTGCAGCTCGAAGACCCCTCCTAGATAGATGGGTTCATACCAGGGCTTGAACTCAGCCCCCTCCAGGCTCTCCTTTGGGCAAGGGCTCTTGATGGCAGAGAGGAGGTTGACCTTGTCCTGATAAGAGACAGCAAAGCGGCTGACAGTGTGGGTGAGGAGCACGTAGGAGGGGCAGCCTTGGCCCTTGAAGAGGACCTGGGAGTAGACAAGGTATAGCCCGTTTGCAGGCACCACCAGCTGGTTGTCTATCAGCTCCATGCCATTGGCCAGGAGGGCATTGGCACGACGACTTAGCCACACCAGCTGCTCCTTGTCTTCATTTTTTGCTAGAGGGAGGGAGAGGTGAGTCAGTATGACCCTGTGAGTTTACTTCACATCCTGGCCCTCAAGTTCTGCTCACCCCAACTTCCGGTTACTGTCCCCTCTCTTTTCACATCTCTTCTGGCCCTGAGTTTCTGAGTATCCATCACAAGGCCTTTCTGTTCCTCCACCCTCCTTCACACACTGTCTCCAGGGTCTTCTACTTTCAACCCACCAGTCCTATGCCTCCATGTCTTATGTGCTCCTTCATCCCCAAGACACATGCTCAGAGTTCTTACCTACAACATGGGCTACAGGCTTGTCATTCATGTTTTGAGAAGATGATCCTGAAAAAGAAAGAAAAGAAAAAGTTGAGCCCCCCCAAACTTCTTTGAAAATCCCTGCCTACTTTGACCTCCATTCCTTCTCCCCAAAACCCAAAACTCTAAATTTCCCCCACTGTTTCCATCCCAGGACTAACACTCCTCCCTTCACCAGAATTAGGAAAGAAGCTTGGGAGATACTTACTGAGTGTGAGCATCTGGGCCTGGGGGCTGAGAGGGAGGTTATTCAGGAACTGTGGGAGAAGGAAAAGATTTAGTACTCGAGGAATCACCCCAGAGGAGAATCAGCTGGCTGCTTATTCAGCTTGAGCTCTCTGCACCAAACATCTGGTTTCGTCTCTCCATTCATTCATTTATCCTTACATACATCCAACAAGTGCCTTCTGTGGGCCAAATTTTTGCCTCTCCTTATCTCACTTTCCTTCAACTCTCTCCTTATATCTCTTTCCCTCAGTTCTCTCCTTATCTTTCATATCATCCACATCTCATTCTGTCTCATCACCTTTAATCATATAACTTTCTTTTCTCCCATCTCTCTGCTCATGCTCTACATCTTTCTCTGGAACTCTTTATATATGTATATCTGCCTGCTCCTTCATTCATTCATTCATTCATTGAACAAGTATTTGATTAGCATGTTTCTTGTGTCTTTCCACATCTCTTTCTGCTCCCCTATCTTCTCTAGGCCTCCCTATCAGCACTCCTTTCTCCCCACCTCTCTCTTGTTCTCTTTCTCCCCTTTTTCTGTCTGGATGGAAGTGAAGTTTGGGGAGGCACTCACCTCTTCCCTCTGGGGGCCGATCACTCCAAAGTGCAGCAGGCAGAAGAGCGTAGTGGCTCCTGCCACAAGCAGGAAGGAGAAGAGGCTGAGGCACAGGCACCGGCTGGAGCCCTGGGGCCCCCATGCCTCCTTGGGGAGTGCCTCCTCGGCCAGCTCCACGTCCCGGATCATGCTTTCAGTGCTCATCGTGTCCTTTCCAGAGGAAAATGTGGAGCCCTGGATGTGGAGCAAGCAGTGTGTGTGTGAGAGGGAGAGAAACTGCTTGTCTGGTTGCCTTTCTGGGATTATTTTCAGGGGAGTTTGGAGTTGCTTCTCTCCCTCCTGGCTGGTCCCCTGGTGTCCTCGCTCAGGGAGCTTTTGCTGGCTGGGTGTGCAAACAGCTGCCTTTATAGCCCTTGGGGCAAGAGGAGGGCGGGGAAAGACTCTCGTTCAACCAGCGGAAAACTTCCTTGGTGGAGAAACCCATGAGCTCATCTAGAGGAAGCGGTAGTGGGCCCTATACATTCTGTCTCGGTTTCTTCTCCATCATGGGGGCGGGGGTTTGGAAAGTTGGGGATACCCAGGCATCAAGGATACTCCTCATCCTCCCCACCCAGATACTGTGGCAAGCTTCTTGGGCCAGTTAACAAAGTGTGTGTGTGTGTGTGTGTGTGTGTGTGTGTGTGTGTGAGAGAGAGAGAGAGAGAGAGAGAGAGAGAGAGAAACAGACCCCCTGGAAGCTGGACCCAGTTCCTCCTGACCCTTAATGTCTGTTGTCTCTATTTTTTGGAGGGCCAGGTCTGCTGTGGTCTTTCCCCTCTGATTTCTTTTTCTTTTCTTTTTCTTTTTGGTACTCAGTGCTTAACCACTGAACCACGTCCCCAGCCCTTTTTATATTTTATTTAGAGACAAGGTCTTGCTGAGTTGCTTAGTGCCTCCCTAAGTTGCTGAGGCTGGCTTTGAACTCATGATCCTCCTGCCTGAGTTTCCTGAGTCGCTGGGATTATAGGCATGCACCACTGCACCAGGCTCCCCTCTAGACAGGACTCCTGAGAAGGAAGACATGAACTGGAGCTTCAGAGTGGGAAGGAATTGGGGTGGGGGGAGAGGCCAGAACAGTTTGAGATTGGGGGCACACATTGGCTTCTGGAAGGGGTTGGGAGGGGTAGCAGGGACAAGCCTGGGACAGCCCCAGAGGGAGTGAACTCTGACTTGGGAATTCCAAAACCCACAAGGGCCTTCTCCTTTCATTCACAAACCCCAGGCCTTCTTCTTTCATTCTTATCTGGAATTCAAACTACTGGTTTCAGTCTTGCTTCCAAAGGACTTTGAAACCCCTGAATTTTTTTTTTTTTTATTGAAGACTTCAGACCTCTGATGTTGGCCATGTCTCTTCAGATGTCCACTATATTTCATACCTCTTAGTTCTGGAGGCTCTCCCACTCTTTAGGGCCCACGCATGGCCATGTCTTCCAGAGAATCCCCTTATTCCACCTCCCTAGATCTGGACATTCTCTCACCCTTTGGTATTGTAACTTCTCCCCAGAGGTCACCAGTGACCCCTGTTCCTAAGAAGCCCTACATGTGGCCATAGCTCCCAGAAACCCTCTGAATACCACCCCTAAGGACCTTGTCCTCCCCGCATCACCACCATTTTTCTTTCCAGTTTCTCCCTCAATTCCCCTGCAGCAATTAGACTGCCTGGCCCCTGTGAACAGGCTACAAATCCCTGGAGCTCCTGGGCCCCCTTATCTCCTTGTCCTGCCCATAGCCCTTGACCCCTCTGAGACCTCTGTCTCTCCCTTCATTCCCTAGAGAGATCTAAGAAATTGTCCCCACTTCAGACAGACAGACATAAGCAGACAGCATTTCAGAGAAAAAAGAGGTTTATTTGGCTTTATCGAGGGAGCAGATGGCTCCTTGTGGGTGTCTAGTCAGGCAGTGGCTGGCTTTTAGAGCCTTTCGCTTCCTTCTAGAGCCCCTCGGTCCCTTAGTCCTACTTTTCTCTCTAGGTGAGCTCTGAGCCGATACCTTCTCACTTTCCATCTCTGGGGCTTGTTCAACTCTCTCTTCTAATGCCTTCCTATTGTTCCCCTATCTCTATCCTCCATAAATAAATAACTTAATTTTCCCCTTCATAAATAGTCCCCCTTCCCTGCCTCTAGTCATCCACCCAGGCTGCCCCATGTGTCTACTCCTCTTCCATGTCCAGGTCAAGGCCCCACCTAGACCACTGGGACAGAAGAAGAGCTCTGTGTTGGGAATTTCTAGGCAGGCTTGAAATCTTCAGTAGAATACCCAGGGTGATTCAGGGAGCTGTGGTCCCTGGAGTGCCTGGAATTTCTTCTTTGAAAGCTTCAAGTGACTTGAGTGGGGAAGACATGAGGCGATGGTTGGAACGGGCACAGGAGAGGTGGTGGTGACCCTTGAAATGGTCAGAACGAAGGCAAAATGGAGAGAAGGACTTGAAACCAATTTCTTTTTCTCTCTGGATCTTTCCAAGTCCTACAGAGCAAAAGCCCCAAAGAAGACGCTGCTGGGACTGAAGAGCAGGTGGGAGATACCATCTGTGTGGGTGGACAACTGGTCTCCTCGGGTGAGCAGGAACACAGCCCCCTGGTATACTGAGCGCACCCAAGGTCCTTGTGGCCCTGGGCACACAGACTTCTGGGCGCTGAGGAGAGGCACATGGAAGGGGTACTGGGAGGAGAAGAGCTGAACCTCATGGGCGAGGTAGAGAGGGGTGGAGACGGCCTTGGAGGAGCAGCCTTCCCCAGAGAAAACCACCTGGGAGTAGACGAAGTAGAGGCCACTGGTGGGGACCAGGAGGGAATTGTTGCTCAAAGAGAAGCCATGGCGGAGGAAGGCACGGTCCGTGTTGGCTCTCCAGCGTAGAGAGTTCTGCATGCTAGGGTCTCCTAGGAAGAGCCACAGGAGGTGGGGGAGGAAGGGTCAAGGATCTACATTAGAGGTCTCCTCCCTGAGGAAGCAAGTACTAAACAATTGAGTTTATAGGGGATGACTGGGGAGAAGGAGGAGTAGGCTCTGTCTTTAGTTGTAGGGGAAGCTGCAGGGAAAGATGGGGTGGCTACTTGGGTCCCTAGATGCTGGTAGGAGGGGAGCGGGGGGCTGCATGTCTGGGAGGTTGGGTGGAACTTTACCAACAAGGTGAGCCGCAGGTTTGAGGGTGCCATGAGCAAAATGCTTCTGGGGGTGCTGCTGAGCAGCCCGGGCAGCTGAGGGCAGGAGGCCAACACCAGGGAGTCCCTAGGGGAGAACAGAGTTGAGAGGGCTCTAGGGATCCAAGCTGGGCTGAGCCACCCCTGCAGCCCCAATTTTCCTACTGCCTCACCTTGGCCCTAGGTGGCAGCGCAAGTAGCAGCCCCAGAAGCAGGAAGAGGAGGCGGGTGCCACGCACCCTTGGGAGGTATAGACGTCCAGGTGGTGTCATGGGGAGAATCTGCAGGGAGAGAGAGAGAGAGTGAATGGGGCGGGGCACACAGAGGAAGACAGACCTCCTGCCTGCCTGCCCTGCAAAGACAACCACCCTGAGAGAGGATGACAGACAGAGAAGGGGACAAGACACAGGCAGGGAAATCCCAAGGTGAGCAGAGGGAGACATAAAAACAAAGAGAGACAGGAAAGGAACAAAAGGAGATTGCTGCAGAAACAGAATGAGTGACAGGTCAGAGAGAAAGAGAATGACAGATGGAGAGATAGAAACCCGGAACAAACCAAAACAAAACCCACCCCAACCAAGGCCCAGGCCCAGACAGGCTGGAGATCCAGGTAGGAGGTGCAGGAGGAGCCAGGGCTCAGGACCCAGGCAGAGGGGCAGCCCAAGGAGATGGGGCAGGAGAGTCCTACCTGGTGTGCAGGGCCCCTGGGCCAGGACGCTTGGGTCCCTTTATAGAGGAAGCGGCAGTGGCAGCGTGGCAGCCAGCGGGCGGGTTCTAGGCCGGGGCTGGGGCCTGGGGAAGCCCCCAGGGCTTAGAAGATGCTGCTGTTTCAGTCGAAGGCAGGAAAGGCTGAGGCCTATAAGAGAACCGCAGGCTGGGGGCTCAGGCAACTGAGTTCTGGGAAAGGGAGTGAGGTCAGGGGAACTGGGGGCCAGGACTGCCCAGGAGCAAGGTCAGACCTAGGAGTTCCAGAGAAAGGCAATTCGGGGAGAAGAAGGGGGAGCCACTGGGGTGTATGCTGGGGGCCTGGTTCCCTGAAGAGCTATCATTTATGACACCTCTGCACCCTCCACAAATTACAGGCTTCTTTCTGCCCATTTCCTCCTCTTATCCCCAGTGCCCCCAGCTGTCCTTGTCCCAAATGACTCAAGTCACACATGTCCCAGGATGTATACTTTCCAGTCTTCTGGCAGGTGTCATATCAAGAAGTTCTATTATATAACCCCTTGCCTGGAACATCCTCATGTGTGCTCTTGTCCTAGTGAAAATATTAGTGGAGCCCCCTTACACACTCCAAACTGTCCTGGTTTGGAAGATGAGGTGTTTTTTTTTAAGAGAGAGAGGGTATTCTTTTTTAATATTTATTTTTTTCAGTGGACATAACATCTTTATTTATTTTTATGTGGTATTGAGGATCGAACCCAGCGCCCTGCTCATTCCAGGCGAGCGCGTTTACCGCTTGAGCCACATCCCCAGCCCAAGATGAGGTTTTTAATTTAATTTTAATTTTTTGTCCCCTTACCCAGAGATGATGCTAGGCACTCATATATAATGAAGTCTCGACCCATTCTTGAAAGATGCCATCCATCTTGTGGCCACACAGATTAGATTTATATAACTCCAAATAAACACACACATTCGACTCAATTTGGCCAACAACTTCCAAAGTTCTCTATAGGGGGAGCTTCAGAATTCCACATTGGCTAGACTTATGGTAACAACCTAGGGTCAGGTGGGAATGGCTAAGGGATTTGTCTGGAACTTGCATTTGTGGTATCAATACACTGTTTTAAGGAGCTGGCGGTGTAGCTCAGTGGTATTATGCTTGCCTAGCAAGTGTGAGGCCCTAGGTTTGATTCCCAAGCACTACAAAAAATTAAAATTAAATAAAAAAATTAAAATCATCCAGGATTGTTTTCCATTTATTAATTTATTTTTTAGTACTAAGGATTGAGCCCAATCATACTAAGTACCATGCTCTACAATTGAGTCATACCACCAGCTGTTTTTCTTTTCTTAATGTATAACAGTGTACAATGAGGTGCTCCCCTCTGAAGTGTGCAGCTAATGAATGTTTCCATCAGTATATGACCATGTAGTCACTACCCAGTTCCATTTCCCCAAGAGGTTCCCTTATGGCTTCTCCCAGTGCATATTCTCTAAAGACAATCACCCTCTGGCCTCTAACACCATAGACTAGTTCTTTCTGCTTTCAGTTGCATATAAATGAAATCATACAGAACTTATTCATTTGTGTTTGGCTTCTTCCAGTCCACATTTTATTTGTGAGATTCATTCATGTGGTAGCATATATCAGAGGTTTTTTGTTGTTGTTGTTGTTGTGATACAATATTCTAATATATAAATATACTCTAATACATTGTGTGTGTGTGAGTGTGTGTGTGTGTTTGTATGCGGTGCTGGGGATAGAACCCAGGGTCTCACACATGTTAGGCAAGTCTCTACCACTGAGCCATAGCCCAGCCTTTCAGTTTCTTTTTTTCTTCTTCTTCTTTTTTTTTTTTTGGTACAGGGGATTGAACCCAGGAGCGCTCAACCAGTAAGCCACATCCCCAGCCCGTTTTTCATTTTTTATTTTGAAACAGGGTCTCCCTAATTTGCTCAGGGCCTCACTAAATTGCTAAGACTGGCTTTGAACTTGTGATCCTTCTGCCTCAGTCTTCCAAGTGGCCTGGATTAAAGGCATGCGCCACCACACCTTGGTCAGTTTCTTTTTTTTCTTCTTTGCCTCACTGGAACATAAGCTCCAGGAGTGTCAGTACCTTGTCTCACTTTTTGCCACTATTTGCCTAGATCAAGGACCAGCACATAGTAGGCACTCAATAAATACCTATTAAGTGAAGAAGGATAAATAATAAAGTAAATTGGACAAAGTTCAACTTTAGGTTTGTGGCTCAGATGGAACTTATATTTAGAGTCAGATTTAAGTTTGAGGTTAGGAATGGGGATACGTAAGTTTCAAGAGTAACCCTAGAAACAAGGTTAGGTTGCTTTAGAAGACAAATTTTATTTGGAGTTTTATTGATTGGGATGTGTTTGGATTTGAGGTTAAGGTTATCTTTGGGGTTAAGTTTGAGTTGTGATTTGGGTTGAGGTTGAAATTGGAATTAAACCCAAACTAGATTTTGAGGCTAAGTTTAAGTGGAAGGTTAATGTCATTTCAGCCTCATTTGGAGGCCCAGTGATTTCACTGGTACTCCACAGAGACCACTATAAAGGCTGTATTTCCTTGAGTTTGGGCACAAGACTCCAGTCATCAGCCTCCCACCCAGGGAAAGCCCCAAACCAACTGCTGGCTTCCCCAAGAAAGAAACTGAATTTCATACAACCTCTGAAACTGAGATTGAAACTAAGATTGGCATGTCTCAAGGAGCATCCTTCAGCACATTGCAAACTCCCGTGACACTGAGCTTCAGCCTAGTTCTTGCCCTTCCTTCCTCTCTGTCTCATGTCTTTTCATTCTCCTTGTCTTCTTCTTGCTGCCTCTGGATGTCCCAGTCTTCCTCTCTGGCCTAAATTTCTATCTTTCTTAGTGTTAATTGCAATACTGTTTTGTACTTCAATATGTTTTTTTTGGCTGGAGTCTGTGGGCCCATTAGCTCATGCTATTAGAGAGGGAAATAACAGGAAGGGAAAAAAAAGACCTCCAGGGAAAGAGGAACAAGAGAAAAGGAAAGGAATATGGGCTAAGAGGGAAACCAACAGTGACACAAGGGATTTTAATATTAAAGGAACAAGTGAGGCATGGTGGTGCATGCCTGTCATCCCAGCTACTGGGGAAGCTGAGGCAAGAGGATTGCAAGTTCGAGGCCAGCTTCCGTACTTCAGTGAGGCCCCAAAAGACTTTGTGAGACTCTGTTTCAAAATAAAAAATTAAAGGGGCTGTGGATGTGGCTCAGTGGTTAAGTACCCCTGGGTTCCATTCCCCATACCAACTCCCCCTCAAAATAGAACACCACCACAACAAAACCCCAAAACAACTCCTGAATGTTGTGCCTGAGAACAACAATGTGCCCAGTGAAGAGCAGGAGAATTTTTAGCTTTCATCCCCACTAGCCCCAGCCTTGCTACAACCCTCCAGATGAATCATACCAGCAATGACAGTAATGATAATATCTGAGGTGGCCAGCTGGTATTATCTTGATCTTACAAAAAATGAATAAATCCTCTTCTGAAACTTGGGTTTTCTAAAAAATCTGTTACTTAACAAGCTCCGTGAAAACTGGCTCATGTACAAAATGTTCATATCAATGTTTTTCACATCAGCTAAAACTAGAAACAAACCAAAAACCCATCAATAGAAGACTGCATTAGAGGGCTGGCCTTGTGGCTCAGAAATAACAATGCTTGACTGTCATGCATGAGGTCCTGGGTTTCATTCCTAGCACTGCACAAACACAAAACAAAAACAAATAAGGAAGAAGAAATCAGTAAGTAGTGCTATAAGATTATAAGACAGGATAATGTGGAAAGTAGCAGGGAACTACCTTTAGATACAGTAGTCAGCTCTGGGCATGGGGCACACAACTGTAATCTCAGTAACTCAGGAGGCTGAGGCAGGAGAATCACAAGTTTGACGAGGCCAGCCTAGACATCTCAGTAAGACCCTGTCTCAAAATAAATAGTAAAAAAAAAAGTTGGTGATGTAGCTCAATGCCCCTGGGTTCAATCCCCAGTACCAACAAAAAAAAAACCCAAACACCCCAAAATAAATAACAACAACAAAAACAAAAACAACAAACAAAACAAAACAAAACCAAAAAACCACCAAGAGCTCAAGGCTTCTTCTTATTTTATTTTTATTTATTTGTTTTTGGGGCTGGGGATGGAATCTACAGCTTCGTACATGCTAGGCAAGTGCTCTACCATTGAGCCACATACATCCCTAGTCCTAAATGAAAGTTAGAAAGCAAAGCATTCCACATGAAGCAAACAGCTGAGGCAAAGGTGGGGAAGAAGGATCAAGCTGGAGGTATTGAAGAACAGTGAGGCTGCAACAGAGAGCAGGCAGGGAGGGGATTGGGTTTATGTTTTAAAAGTTCATTGTGGCTCCTGTGTTTAGGCCAGAGAGCAAAAAATGAGGATACCAGTTAGGAGGCAGTTTCAGCCATGTTGAAGAAAAGATGGTGGCAGCAGAATTCTAAGGGTGTGGGAGAACCAAAAGCTCTATTTTGAATCTACTAAGTGAAAGCCTTTTAGAATTGTAAGTGGCAGCTGGATACATGAGTCCAGATTTCAGAGGCAAGGTCAGAACTAGAGAGAGAAAACTGGGAGTTTTTAAATGCATGAAGACAACATTTAAAGCCACAAAACTGGAAGAGAAACCTTAACTTACGTATTTGAATAGATTTCATAGAATGTTGTCACATAGATCAGAATATGTGGGCAACCGGAAGAGATACCATATTATGCGTCTCCCTAAGACCCTGTTAAGATATACATGTCCTATTCAATAAATGCAATGTATCTTCCATAATGAATTCCAGAAGAAGCAATCTCCTGCTTCCATGTGCAAAACCTCCAGATTATCTTCTGAACCTCTGTGGATTCAGTTCCCTACTGATCTATTTCACAATATTCTATGGAATACCTTATTTATTAAAATACTCTTTTTTTTCAACTGGGGATTGAACTACCACTGAGTTGGTTGGCACTCTTC